TTTTTTCCACGGTGTGCTACTTGCAAGACGGTTTGGATCTATGGAAACTGCAATCTTTGTATATTCCTCCATTGCTTCTCGGTGGCTTCTGAGACGGGGAGGGGGGGGGGGAGGGGGGGGGAGGAGGGAGGCACCGCTAAGGAGCGTTAGAAATGAATAAAAATTTCCAGGTTTTGACACTTATGAACAGCCGCGCTTGCTTCTTAAGTATTTATTACTTGTTCACAGGCGCCTGCGGAACCTCAAAGAGACTTACGAAAACAAAGCAACACAACCTCCCACAAACACTATTCACGACGAGCGAACGCTGAACAAAAACTTCTCATAACACTCCATAACATATGACATGCCGTTAGTCCGGTCGCGGGATGAATGTGAAGAGAAGTAACTCTCTTTACATTTGAATGTTTTCCGGCAGTTTCTCATTGCTGTACGAGTTCCTGTAAGAAAAATATTCTCATTAAGATAGATTGGTATAGAAAACTAAACGAACTGCAAACAGTCAATAACGCTCCCTGTGCGTTGTAAACCCATTGCATTTATGACAGCATTTTGTCAACGTAGGTAATAAATTACATGAATTGTGTTTGATTGTATATATTACATCGCTTTCTGCACCCAGTTAGACTCTAGGCTTGGTAAGTAAACGCTGATGTTGGCTTGTCATAGTCTTAATTTTTAACCCTGGGAAAATGAAGTTTGTTGGTTCATTCTGCCATTGTCTTCCTGATCCGTGATGTGTCTCGCATATCAGAGTACCAGAGGAAAAGTCTGACCTGTGTAGGGTTATGATCACTTTTGGCCGGGAGTGCAGAGTGTGGCTAGCAGGTTCAACGGAGGGGGAAGTCCAACAGTTGATTCACGACAAATCACGCCCAGGTGATCTGATTATCTATACAGGTGGTTCGGTGTTGAGAGAAAAGAGAAGGGCCTGGGTGTTCGTATCAAAAACCAATTAAAAAGCTTTAGTGAAAGACATCCTTGCATACGACATCTAGCATGAGAATGGAAGTGGAGGCGGTAACTGCAGCTCTCCGATGGCTAGAGAACAAGATGATTACACATGTTGTAACAGACTCTGAGGGCATGCTGAGAAAGGTGAAGATAGCGATGCTTCGAGTGGCAAGCTTTACTGAGTAAGTCATTGAGCATACCTTGGATTGTTTTCTCTAGGCTATGCCGGACTAGTGGGTAATGAACAGGCAGACAGAATGGCTGGATCTGCATCACTGGGTGGTAAATTAATACATGACAAGGCAGATGTGGTCAATGCTCTTTGGGAACAAGCATAGGAATCAGTAGAGAAACAAGATTATTACTGCCTGTAGAGAAGGAAGCAGCTGGGTGTAACTAGAGGGTCACGCCGGCTCACTACACGTAGAGGAAAGGCAAGACGGACATATCAGTATTGGAACTCTGCGCTGGCTGCTGAAGAAGATGACGGAGCACGCATGGGAATACCCCGAATGCTGTGATGTCAATTCTTAACTGAGCTTCACTCAACTCTTTTTATCTTTATTTAGCGACTCTGAAGAATTGTGACAACAAATTTGTTTCCTGCAAGTGTTGTATATTTGCCTCCTGTGTGAGTCGTATACACATGAGTTTAGAATTGCCTTTCCTTAAACGGGCGGCGTCCGTGGCTTAAGCCTTGCGAGTCCGACTTGTAATTCCAACGTACCACGATCGAAACCCACTGCTGGCTGCGTTGATTTTTATCATGTTATGCGGGATCGCAGGTCGACCCAGCCTAAAATGGGTACCAGGATGGCTGTCCTGGGGAAGTAGAGACGGCCGGCGTAATACTGACCACATTACCCACCTAGTGCCGATGGTCTAAAAACAATATGGGCGCCCTTTCCATTTACCCTATGAGCTTAAGGCGTGAATAGGGATCTCGACTTCTACTTACATTTTTTTTTCCTTAAACCCTCGAACATGAACATACACCTAGAGTGACTGAAATAGTTAACAATCTGTAACTCCGTAATCGATCGATGTAAATTGTTAAAATTTGTCATAAGTAGAGTAAAGGGCCCTTTTCCGAGCCTTTAGGCGTATAGGGCATATAGGGTTAGACCTATATTTTATAGACCAATCGGTACAAGATGTGTTATTTGGTTAGCGTCACTCCGGCTATCATTGACAAACTGGTAGGGGATAGCATCTCTGACAACTGGCTTCTCCGCTATTGTTGAGCGACTGGTTCACCTATGGCGACTCTGTGGCGTTTCGCGAAGGTGATTTTCGCCTGATAATCGCTTCAAGATTGCAAGTGTCATTTGTCAGGATCACATGGCGGCGAGTAGGTTTTTGCCACGAATATGTCTCTCCTCACTCTCACCCCTGTAATATTGTATGCTAACATATGATGCAGTTACTGGTAATGTATTTTCACCGTGAGCGGTAGATAATTAAAGTGTGAGTTACTATGAGGTGGAGCTTCTGACAGTCTCCTGTTTTAACATCAGTTGAAGTTACTGGCAATCAGTTTGTTAACATTAGCCTGAGTTTTTTGCCACGAATATTTCTTTTCTCACCCTCACCCCTGTGATTTGTATGTCAAAATATGACAGGGTTACTTGTAATGTATTCTGTTTGTGAGCGGGAGATACATTAATGTGTTAGTTACTATGAGGTGGAGCTATTGGCAATCTCCTTTTTTAACATCAGCTGGAGTTACTGGCAATGTGTTTATTAACATCAGCTTAACTTACTGGCAATCGGTTTGCTTGCATCAGTCAGTCATTTGCAGAAACTTGTTCTCAAAACAACTTTCTGGAAAAATTTCTCGATCACAAGCAAGATGCCCCTCGTCCGACACACCCGTATGGAGATCATCAGCCACATCCCGCACCCACCTTCTCTTTGTCCTTTCTCTTCCTCTCTTCCCAGGTACATACCCCTCTATTATTGTTCTCTCTAAACTTTTGTGACGTCTTAAGTAACCAAAATGTTAAATTTTTTGTGTTGAATCGTCTTTAATAGCCAACTTTCTTCATCGTTCTTGAAGTATGGATGCATTTGTTCTTTTCTTTACCCATATTATTCTTAGAACCCGACTATTACATTTGTATTCAAAGGCTCTTAAGCGCTGTTCAGCTTGTTTAGTAAGTGTCCAGATCTCACAGGTGTCTGTTGCAATGGGAAAGATGCCTGCTCTTTAAAATCTTGTTGTTTTCGTTCTGTCTGTTCCGCTCCACAATTTATTCAGTTGTTTTAGTCATTGAAGAGCAATTGGTAGTTGTTTAATTTCTTCCATTGTTTTCCCTTTGTTTGTAATGAATGACAAAAGATATTTACAATTTTAAACTACTTTTAGGGGAGGGGGAGGGGGGGGGGGATTTCCTGGGCCATTTGACAAACTACTGGACATAAATTTACCTAGAAAAGACACAAGAGCCAAAAATGCAGTGGTTGGTTTAGGAACATACCCTAAAGGATACGCGACTATCTTTGTATTTACACTGGATCATCGTTACTTTTTTTGTTTTGTTTTAAGCAAAATTTATTGGCAATCTGTCTGTTAACATCAGCTGGAGTTACTGGCAATCTGTTTTTTAACATCAGCTAGTATTACTTACAACATTTGTTTACATGAGCTGGAGTTATCGGCAATCTGTTTGTTAAAATCAACATGTGTTATTGGCAATCTGTTAACATCAGCTGCAGTTACTGGCAATCTGTTTGTTAACATCAGCGGGTTTTAATGGCAATCTGTTTGATAACATATGATAGAGTTATCGACAATATGTTCGTTAACATCAGCTGGAGTGATTAGCAATCTGTTAACTTCAACTGGTGTTACTTGCGAATTGTTTGTTAAAATCAGCTAGAGTTACTGATAATCAGTTTGTTAACATCAGCTGGAGTTATTGGCAATGTATCTTTTAACATCAGCTGCAGTTATTGACAATCAGTTTATCAACATCAGCTAGAGTTAATTTTAATATGTATGTTAACTAGGGCTGTACCGAATAGTGATTTTCACTATTCGGCCGAATACGAATAGCTGGGCCAACTATTCGGCCGAATACGAATACTAATAGTGAATCATCATCATCATGTGCTTTGCCGGCTGGCATGGGCGATTATGCCTCGCCACAATCTGCGATCTTCTGCAGCACGTATTAGTTCGTGTGCTGACACACCTCCATGAAAAACCTTCGTTCCATGTTGTCAGCATTAGGCCAGCTTTTTGTCTCACTGAAGGTATTTCCAGCTGTACTAAACAGGAAAATACGACAATTACAGTCAAAATGAAAACCCGCAAGGCGAAACATCAAAAACAAAAATAATGCCGACGAAGAAAACAATGCCGTCCTTACAAGTCGCCTAGCCCCCCGCGAGCTCACGAAACCAGACGCCGGGCGGCCAAAGCCAGAAGATCAAACAACAAAGACAATCAAGAAACCGAACGTTGATCAAAACATTCAGCCGCTGCCGTTTCCACGAGACGACGAAAGAACAGATACGACACCCATAAATGATGACGAACTCCCGTTACTTCAAAGAATCAACGAAGAGGACACTCCACTCAAAGAAATCAAGCCGACAACACTGAACACTTGCTTTTGTGCCCCTCTTACATTTTTAAGTGTTGCATTTTGTTTCTACAGCAACACCTAAAAACACTATACTCGCAACACATACAAGATGGAAATAAAGAGGCACTTGGTACAAAGATAACGCTTCACAGTTAAAACCAAGGTGGGAAATCTTGATGTTTTTTTTTTTTTCACCAGTCCAGAAACGGTTGTGAGGTAACCAATATTCGTATTCGGCCCGACCGCAACTATTCGGCCGAATACCGAATAGTTATTGGGTTCACTATTCGGCCCCGAAGCGAATACGAAGCGAATATTCGGTACAGCCCTAATGTTAACATGCACTAAAGTTATTAGTAATCTGTGTGTTAACATCTGGGGGGGGGGGGGGGGGAAGTAACAGCTTCACCTAAATCAATATTTATGTTACTTTATCGTATGCCATTTTTCTAGACATACATTCTAAAGACAGTACAACACAGACCATACCAGTGGCCAAGATGGGCACAAAATTGTTGATAATAATAGCAGTTATCTGCATTTACTTAAAGCTTGAACAAGTGTCTTCATGTCCTGTAAGTACGCTTTTCTTCTCTTCCTCATCATTATCCTAATCTTCTTCCATTTCTTCTTCTTTTTTTACTGCTCCTTCTTTCTTCTTCTTC